GAGATTATAGCCATTAACACAGGGTAAAAAAGTCCTTTGTATTCTGCTGTTATGTCATACTGTCTGTATATCTGAAGCATACCTAGCATTGTTACTATCTGCTCACCTTTCATGGCAGCTAGCAATGTCTGTATTATACATGGGACACAACTATCAATCAAATTCTTATTGTAAAACATTTGATAGAGTGATAAAGTTGATAGAATGATACTTTGAACATTTGATAGGTTGATTATTTTGTAAAACATTTGATAGAAAGAGAAAGTGGTAATTTTATCATGGTAAGCATGCCATTTGCCATTTTTCAATAATTGCCTCTGTAGCTTACATGTGTAAAAAAAGCTGATTATTATAGGTGTCTGAATGCTTGCACTTACTGCAAAACAAAGCATGCAAGAGGAGAACTAGGAAGTTATTCAATAGAAGACATTGTAGCCAGGGCCAAACAGTCTTTTGAAGGTAAAACCCAAACACACCCTAGCAATATTTCATGGCCTTTCAATGGTACTAGAGTATCACAGCTCCACTGCAGCCTCATTAGCATGGCTGTGTGCCATTTAGAAGCCATTGTGTCATTTTGAGATATCAGATCTTGTTTAGTAGTAATTGTTCTACTGTATAAGTACAACACAAGTGACTTTTTTCCCGTAGTTGTGATTTGACATTGGGTAAATGTTGGTATGAGTTTGTTATTTACAAATCAGTTCCAATTGTTTATAAAATTGGACCACAGCTCAGTTGTTGTGCATTTCCTTATAAAGTTGTGTATATGTATTGTGCAATTCAGAGGGGGTAGTAGAAATCTGGCTGACATCTGAGGACTTGGGTGCCTATGGTATAGACATTGGAGTCACCTTACCTGAACTGCTGTGGAGACTTGTTGACACAATACCAGAGGGTGCCAGGATGAGACTTGGCATGACAAACCCACCATATATCTTGCAGCATCTAGAAGTAAGTTCTACTTATGACGTGACAAGCTACATTTATGTTTTTCAAGGCATAAGAATTAAAGCACTGAAACATTAATAGTAGTATTATTGTATAAAAAATGTTCAATTGTCTAGTTGGAGAAACATACCATTTATGTTAAATATTGTTTTTCTGGGGACACTGAAAAGCTGTTAGAATTCAGTTATTTGCTTTGTATAAAATATTTTTGTAATATCAAAGTAAATTGATGGTTTCCTACATTTTTGAACAGCAATATTTTCCTGAGATTGCTTATTACATGCAATATTGTATACAACTGACAATTGTTTCCCTAATAAAATGTCATACATATTAAGTGACCATTTTGTCGCTTCAAAAACTTCGAAATGAAATATAAGATTGAATATTTCTATATTAATAAAATTGTTATAGGAAATGGCAAAGATCCTGAACCATCCCAGGGTATATTCCTTCCTGCATGTTCCTGTTCAGTCAGCCTCAGACAGTGTACTCATGGATATGAGAAGAGAATACTGTGTAGATGACTTTAAACATGTGGTCAATTTTCTCAAAGAAAGGTTTGCCATAAATCTTCTTTCCTTTGATAAAAATATGGGACAAAGTGGGATAAAGAGCTTCTCAGGAGGAGATTTCAACTTCTATTTTTGAAGACAGAATACTTATTCTTTGGCCCTTGATTTGAGTTTATATATTTGTTCAATATGTCAAATTGATATAGTGTTTTTGGGGACATGAATTGTGGCAAATGCATTTGACAAGCTAGGCTAAGGTTCACTGTAAGAAAAAGTTTTTATTGGTGATGTATGAATGGTGTCATCTGTGGTTGGTAAAGCCCCCCATTTATCTTCGTTGTAATTCTATTAGATGTTTTCTGTATATAAATGAGTACGGTAATTCTCCAATCTATACGAACGATTTAAATTAATTATTTTTGGAAGATAATCGTTTTGTTCGTAAGGCTTGAAATTCAGTCTGCTAAAAATTGCCACGCGTTCGTATCCATTGAAATACGAATGGAATACGGCTANACTGTGCCCAAGGTGAGTTTAGCGATCGTTCGTACAGAACGGAGACAAAAAATTCAGATTCAGAGAAAAAACGTTTCGTTCGTAATTATTGCGGCGTTCGTATAGATTGGAGAATTACCGTACCAAGCTTCAATGTATAAAAATGAAAATGAGTTATTTATTTGCCTTTCAGAGTACCTAGAGTCACAATTGCAACAGATCTTATATGTGGTTTTCCAACTGAAACAGAACAGGTAAAAAGGCCAGAATTGTTCAAGTTCAATTGGAAGTTGGATGGTAATCCTAATGCTGTCTTTTGGTCACAGGTTTTCATCATATTTGACAATGGAACAAAGCATTGTTTTAAATCTCTAAAAATGCTGTTGAAGTTTATTGCAGACAATTAATTAAAATTTTTCTGAAACTATATCTTATGTTATTAATAAATCTCAGCTGCTAAAATATAATCTTTAGTATCGTCATTTTAGGACTTTGAAGAGACTATGAAGTTAGTTGAAGAATTCAAGTTTCCCAGTTTATTCATCAACCAGTTTTTCCCCAGACCAGGCACCCCAGCAGCCAGGATGCCTAGGATACATCCACAGGAGGTAAATTATAGACTGCACAGGATAGCTTGGAAGTGAAAATTATCTGGAGTAGTTTGATTTGTTGTATTTTATAGCAGTATGATCGTGTGTCAGCACAATGTGTTATTTTCTTCTAAGGTTTTCATGTTCTTCAAATTCTTACATTGTGAGGAAATATTTACCTTTTTTTTCTTATGAAAAATTGCGACATTGATATCCAAATCTTACTGAAAATGCTCCTTTTCTATTGAAATATTTTGATTCTTGTTACAGGTGAAAAAGAGAACTAAGAGAGTTTCAGAACTGTTTCAGTCATATAGGCCATATGATCATAAGGTAATTTTTTTCACATTTTGGGCTTTGCTGCAGTAGCAGTAAAGTCTACTTTGTATTTTCTCTTCAAGGGTTATAGACTTATCCTTGCAAGAAGTCTATGCAAACTGAAGTGCATGTTTTATGCTGGTTTTCACAGAATGCATAGTGCAAACGCCCTGTGTGGTCAGGAAAAACATCTGATTCAAAGTATTGAACAAGTTTACTTGCTTGTTTACTTTGCATATAATGATGCATGTAATGTCTTAGCGCTATGTAGGATTACAATTTCATTTGTCTTATAACACAGTTTTATCCTTTTAAAATCTGTATCCCTATTTTCTTCACATTTGCACAAATACAATTAAATGATGTCATGATGCACTTCCCGTTTTCGTCAAGATCTTGAAGGCCTTAGTGTTGTGGTTTGCACCAAATTTGAAGTGTTCTATACTAAAATCTAAAGATCAGTTTGAATTGAAATTAAGTGCATATATTCTTTACATGATGTCGCACCTATATGCAAAATTTGATAGCTAAAGCTATCATAGTTTTTCTAATACAATACCCTGTTCAAATTTGAAAATAAAGCCTTTTTGGTTGATTTCTTGAATGGTGGTATAATTTTTTTTCTGCATTTGTAACTCTTAATTGTTATATTCTTTAATCACATACTGTATCAGTACCCCCAGGTTTTATAGAAAAGATGCTTTTTGTGAGATGACATTTTGAAATGAAATAGGTTTAAATAATTTTGGATAGTTTTTTAAAAAATATTTTCATTACTGTCATTTTAGTTGGGTGAGATTCAGACTGTCCTCGTGACTGAGGTATCGCATGACAAGCAGTACTATGTTGGACATAACAAGTGCTATGATCAGGTATTAACCTCATGCAGTTAACAGCAAATTGAAGGCATACTGAAGTTCATTTTATCATTGCCAGTGTGTTTAATGTGATGCCATTTTTGTTTTAATAAGAATATATATTTGGGCTATATAACTATGTGTAAAGACTTCTTTACTCATGAGGTTTCACATACTTCAGTGTAGGCACTTTATTAAGTTTGTTCTACGAACATTAGCAGCTTTGATAAAAATTTAAGGTTAAAATTGTTGGAAGTATTGATGTGAAGACAAGTAATTTTTTACCCACTTTGATTGATTCCATTTTTACTTGATTCTTTTCTCAGGTTCTTGTCCCTAAAGAAGAACATTTACTAGGAAAGTTGGTGGAAGTGAAAATAAAAGAGACTGGAAAGCATTACTTAATTGGTGAGCTCCTTAAGACCCAGGCTGTAAGACCAGAGGGTGTGCCCCCACCTTTGAGACAGGGTGCAGTCTCGGGCCTACAAGAAGAGAAGGTACTAGTGCTGACACCTTTACAGCAACAGTTGGTTGACTACACTCCCATCATAGGAAAAATGTAATGACCATCGATGCATGCTCATATAAATTTGCAGATGATATATAGTGAAGTTACTGTAACTGACTTTTAGTTTTTTTGAAGTTGGGAAAGTTGTAAGGAAAGTTTAGTGGTTGATTTTATTTAACTTAATACTCAATGCTGTTAATTCTGAGTATTTATATCTCTGATGTCTTTCTGCCTTATCTTTTAAGGTGTCCAGCTCTGGTCACTGGACGTCCAAATGGTCCACTGCTGCAGTAGTGATTCTGGTGTGTGCAATATTGATAAGACTTGCTATGAAATTAATGCCCACAATGAGGTAGCAAATATGAAAATGTGGACTGCTACAGGAGCTCACAGAATGTGGTGATGACCAATTGCTAATTTGAAATGAAGTTTGGAAGGAGTGTTAGTGTGTGGTACAACTGTGTCTTATGCATATGTTACTTATACATATATGACACTTCTTCAAACGCGGATTTAATCAGCAGTTTTTATATTTAGTTATTTATGGAATGAATTGCATGATTTACTCAAAATGGCTGGTTGGATGTATTTTAGGATAATAAAAATGACCCACAAACATTAAATCTACGTCAAAGAAAAGTTCTTGCATACAAGTCATTTTTAAATAACATGTAAATTTTCAGATATCACAAGCACTTTTTTTTTAATCAAAACAGCATATTATTAATTATACTTGTGGCAAAAATAAATCAATGAACTTAACAAATATGGTCTACACTCTTTATTTAGATAAGAAAAATACATATAGATTTGAAAATACAAATCGGTCTGAAAAGTTCGATATACAGATTAATGATTTTCAAACACCATGCACCAGTTTCTATTAATACAATAGATGGTGAAGTTTTCAGTTTAAAACCTTAAAAAAACTGAAATTTGCAGAAGATGATATAACTAAATGTTGCCTGAGGATTTGGTCTCACCCTGAGATACTAGCATTGTATGTCTGGGTAACAACCAAATATCAAGCCAGTTGGGGTGAGCCTTTTCTCTTATTTCCTGATTTAACTGGGAATGGATTGCACACAGTGCATAAATTAACTTTTGGCTTTGTATTTTTGCGAGTGATTTTTTCTTGATTTACAGACCCTGCTGTGAAATAAAATAAACATCTTAAATTCTTTTTATGCCCAAGTGATTCATAAACGGTTTGCTTATTAAAAATTAAAACGGCTGTATCAGATGATCCAACAGGTACTGTACAGAATATCTACTGAAAGTCCTTTGTGTTCATATGAATGAAGACAAAAAGCAATGTTTCAATTATCCTGCACCTTGGTATGCTTTAAAATGGTGTCTGTAAATCAAGAAAAGAACAGAAATGATGCCATTGCATATCTGCAACAAAATTAGTGATGTAAGAACTATAAATTATGAAGAGTAATATCATTCTTATTTTATTAGAAGTAAGAAACTATTTACAAATACATTTCTTATCCTAAGTAGTACTTTTCAGGGTGCTTACCCTACATAGACCAGTAGAATTTTTAGTTTCCAACTCTCCCAGGGAGGATATGGAGAAATAAGTTATTACTATATTCACAGGCCAGTAAAATGGCATAATCCTCTACATCCATACATACAATACCCAATCACCACAGCAATCACTGATGAGGTTTTCAGTTGACAGAAACACTGCTGAGGATGCTTTTGGTCACAACATTGATGTAAAAAGAGGCAATTTAAAAACTGTTCCACAAAGCCTACAAGATGTAAAGGAAAAAAGTCTTAAAACAGACAGTAAACACTGGACAACGGGACAATGAATACTTCAGCTGTATTGTGGACTGATAACATGAATTGCATTGTTAATGGGAATATGCATAAAAACCCGCTGGACACCGATTAAAAAGCAGTAATTGTGACAAATGAATAGATGAAGATACTAAAATGTATCCTCATTAACCACAGCCCTGCAACAAGGCATTGATGAACCTGGACTTAATAAATCAATAATGTTGAAAATTGATAATATCACAAAAACATGCAAAATTAAGGCATTTTTAAAAAGGAAATTTAACTATAATCTTTCTAATTGATGTCTTGCTTTCTCAACAAGACTAACTGAAGTTGATACAAGAGAGCCTGTTAAATGTTAAAAATGTAGATTAATTTTTAAGAAAGTACATTATTTTTCCTTATCCTACAAAACCTGGATGCTTGAAAATAATAAGCAATATTTTCATTAAAAGAGTTTGGTGAAATGCCTGTTTCAGAACTACCAGTATGCTAGTTCCTTCAGTCTCCACCAAATCTGTCAGAAAAAAATTGCTCAGTTTAGCTGTCTTTATGATAGTCTACACAGCACACTATCTCTATAATAGCCTATTTTGACTCTGTTTCAATTCAGTGGGATTACTTGTAATGATAATATGTTTAAAAATACACTGAATAGGTTCAAACATTTGAAGTACCATATATCACATTCAGTCTTCTATTTTCACAGTTTTTTTTTTTTTTTTGGAAATGTTAAGGTATAAAGCACCATTTATGTTGCTTTTGATTTTGCATAGCCTTGTGAGTGCTATTTGGGAGTTGGGGTTTTGGAAGCTGACAACTTGGTTTTGGCAGGGCTGCTCTTGCCATGGACTGACCTCTCTGTCCCATCTGAACTGGGGTTTGGCTGGTTCACCCTTCCCGTGGTAGTTGGCACTGTTGATGTCTGTAATACAAAATGTTGATGCTGTTATGAGATTCATTGTAGTATTGTCTCTAATGTTTCGGTGCAAAGACTCATTAAAGTTTTTCACACTTATAAAGAATATTATGTATGGTATATTATGTAAAAGCAGGGTTCAGTTTAAATAAGAATAATCTGGAAACCATTCTTTAAAAAACTAAATATTTAGTCATTAAAAATTTCAAACCAGCTTGAAATTTTCCATGACAAGTTAATGAAGAGCACGGTTATCCAAAAATCAAATCATATGCTAACAATGTTAATAGCACATACACTAAATAAATGAATTAAGATTATTTTTCAAGTTCACTTGCAGTTATAATAACTGAAATACTACCTTGTTATTGTCTACTTCATACTTGTGCTGAGTCTTTAAAGTGCGCCACTGCCCACTCTTATGCAAGATCTTCCTTTCTCTTTGGTGTTGTATTGGACTTGCTGATGGTGACCCCAGTTGAGACAAAGTTAAGTCAAACAGAGGGAGAAAGCAGGGGCTTTTGGAAGAGCGAGGAACAGGTGAGGAAGATAGATTGAGACCTGATGAGGAAGTAATTGGGAAAAGACAGTGGGTTAACAAGCATGCTGTTCATTGTATAGAAGCAAGAGAAATAAAAGTAATATGCAAACAGATGACAGGCAAACTGTCACAGAAATATCCAAGTAAAATTGGCCTGGCATAAGGTGAAAGCAGGTGCAAGGTGAAATACTATCACAGAAATCTTCTAGCAGCTCTGCATAGTGTTGCTGATGGGCATGTCATACTGTCAGGTAGCCACTTCCTTCAAAGCCTGAATAGCAGAAGAAAAAGTATATATATATATATATATATATATATAAAGATATATATAAAGATATATATAAAGATTCAATACAACTATAGTAGTTTCTTTTTTATTTGATGTCATGTTAATGAAGAATCTCTGGGCATCTCTTTTGAAAGTAAATCTATGACTTAAAAGATATCCTTATGGTAGAAAAAAATCAACTTCATACAGTAGTCATTAAAAGTGATACAGTAGTTCTTAGTTCTCTAAATCAACACTAAGACAGTAAAACAAACATACTGTATTACAAATAATTTTCTCTTTCCTGCAGAAAATGCAAGCATTTTGAAAATAACATATATTCGAAACATTGCAACATGGCATTGAAACTTGGCATGGGAAGAGGTACCTCTGCATACATACATGCACATTCAACATACATGTTATATCATCAAACATATCATGCTTTGCATTTTTTACAATTGAACTTATAATCTATATAATCATTTAAGGTATGATAAAAAAAACTAGAGATAAAAGGGACGATTTCTACCCATGGATGGTTATGAGTGACACTCATTTGTGTGTATATGAAAACAATCAATCAAACTGCACAATATTTATTAAAGCAATGATGTCATTAGGTTTGTTGATACTTTCCAGCCTGATGGTTTTTGCTACTATTGTATGAAGGGCAATTAATTGGATGCTATATTGAAAAATGAATACAAAAAGCATGCACCTGTTGAAATGCACTCAAACAAGATATCATTAAAATAAAAGTATAAATGTTACTTTTTTTTATAATTTCCACAACTGATAAAACAAACTTAAATTTAGAAAATGATTAATGATCATTCGTTAATGATGAAATTTGAGAACAACCCAGCTGAATAACAGGTTGTGATGTGCCTGACCCAAATATAAAAGCAAAATTCCACGATTTTCACAGAGAGAGCTGTAATATGTTTGAAACTTTTCATTTTAACATTAACCGACCATTCAAATATCAAGTTTGAGGTCACTAAAATAATTTCAGTGCATGCAACAATAAGAAGGATATAAGAACAGAAATACACTTGGTACATGTGTAAATATATATATATGTATCATTCACCTAACCTATATTAGAACCAGGCAATTGCTGAAAGAAAGTGAGTAGAGAAGTGTCATATTAATCTATTTACTGTGTAGTAATTAAGTGCTGAAAGGTGAAGATAGAATCAGTAGGAGTGTAGTACAATATGTTCCAAGGGATTAAAAGACATCACAAGGTCTTTATTAAGAAGATGGGATAAAGATTACCATCCACACACATGCATGTAGGGTAACTGGTAGAGTGTCAGTGCTAAAATCAGTACCTTTTAACATTAGGGAGAACAGTAATACAGCAAAGAGACTACATACATGACTTGAAACAAAGCATTCTTAGATCATTTTACAAGTAGACAGCATTTTTGTTCCACATTCAGCCTACTAAAGCACCAAGGTTGACAGTCAAGAACATGTGCAATGCATATGAAGGAGCAACATCAATTTGTCTTACATAAAGACTAAGTTGAAGTCAATTAAAATGTTTATAGAATGGAATGGTTTAATAATAATAATAATATATATATATATATATATATATATATATATATATATATATATATATATATATATATATAAATTTAAAATGTGTCTTAGAGTGCAGCATACTCACTCTGTTTATCAGTGACACTGGGGGATGGAGCTCCTGTCCAACGAGCCTCCATCTCTTGATAGTGCTCTGGCTGCCATTTTGGATGAGGCTTTTTGGGGGATGGTGGCTTAGCAACTTGCATGCTCTCGCTCTGTGATTGTCGCATGTGATTGGATGGTGGGGTGTTGTTGTTGGACCGATTCTTTCGGCGGAGTAAATGTGATAGGCCTTGCCGCCATGTTATCTGTTTCTTTGCCTTGTCATACTGCCGCAGAAAGAAAAGTCTTTGTGACTTTGTGCCCTAGAAAAAAAAAAAAACTTTCACTTGATAACCACAGAATCAACTTCAATCTATGAAAGTGTCAATGAACCTTTTTTTATAAGAAAAATTATGACATAAAATCAATATGTACGTAAATAACAAACAAGAAATATGATCATGAACACAGTAGAATTTACTTTTTGTACATGGCTATAGTGTGATTCATATGGTGTAATTCAGTTAATTCATTACCAGTCACACAGAAAAATTACAATTTAGTCAAAATAAAATATTGCATGACATTACAATCAACAGATATACTGAAAAAAATTCCATTCACTGTTTTTTCTCAGTTCAGCTGCTCATTTACCTGTCACAAATAACACAAGTAATATTTGTAGTAAGAACAACCCTGCAGAAAGTACCACATCTCACATTATCATTTTCTGTGATATCAAGGATTCTTACCCTAGATTCATTGCATGGTGATGACATTTCTGGACTGCTTGCAACCTGTGTACATTCATGAATATCATTTTGCTGTTTTTTAGAATTATGCACTGGGTGGTTATTATGCAACTTGAAGAACCGCCGGCCTGGTGATTCTGTTTTGTCTTGATCTATGAATGCAAGCAAAAAGTTGTC